TAAGTTAACTAGCTGTTTTAATTTCTGAACTTAATTGGTATCCGCTACATCTTCTATGGGTTAACTCGTATGCTAATGAGCAAAAATGTAAACAATGACGTCACGATGAATCCGCCAATAAAAACACAAAAACTTGGCCAATATCTAACTATCTTGACCTCACGCTTGGTCAACAACGCATATACAGCTATTTCGAGAAAGGTTGTCGGAAAAAATGTGCACGCAACAATCTCGAAAGGTAATACACTGTTCCTGACACTGTAGCTGTCGAAGCTACTTTAGTTGCTTTCCTTTAGCACTCGCAATTCTCGTGTAATTCTTTTAAATTTCTTTGAAGAACAGTGAACTCAAAACCACCCAAAATATCTTTCGGGATTGTCGCGTTCAATTGTTCCGACAACCTCTTTCGACATAGCTGTATAACTTAGCTACAGTTTACCAGGACTGGCTTCTTACAACATCAACATGTTCATGGCCAAGCTTGTCCAGTGTAAAAGCTAGGTCGCGTTGCAGATACTCCTTGGCTTGCTTAATGCTAAAATTTTGATAAATTTCGTAACACACGCAACTATCTCGGAAGCAAAGGATTGTCGTAAATAAAACAACACGTGACTTACGATACAAGTTGTAGTTTAATAACATAAGTTAATATCAGTTAACATAAAAATTTTAAATGTCCAATTCACTTGATTAACTTGTTAAGCTACAGCTCATTAGCGTGTTCACCACTTGGCAATGCTGAAATTTCGGTAATATGTCTCGCAGAGAGCTAAAAACTAACAAGGTTACACAAGGTTTTACACTTTAGAATAGGCCAAGCTACAAAAAATACGGATGATTTTTTTAGATTAAACTGAAGATGTTTGAAAAGATTTTAGAAAGTCTGGACGTTTCTTTTAAAATTTAGCAAGTTCCAAGATTTTTGGAACATTCAGAGGCAAACAAATCTGTGTAGTGCGTAGAAAAATAGATAAATAACGTTTTCGCTGTTCCTTGTAAGAAACTCCGTGCACTTGCAAATTGATATATAGTATTAAAGATTGACCAGGGCCAAAAGGCCTCATAGCTTCGTACACAACGGTTTTACCATTCGACTATGTATCCCGCAATTTTGTTGCAGTTAGTTGCCGAATAAAAGACGCTAGTCTTGCTGGACTTACGTCATCCGCAATGACCAGTATAAGAGCTTGTAATCACCTTACCATAAACTGTGATGTTTTATGTTTAAATTTTTGTGGTTTTTCGTTCAAATCTAAGTATTTTTAGAATTTCCGGATAGATTTTAAAGTCACTTTTCAGAATTTCATGCATTTATACTGCGACACCTTCTGTGACGCGTATTCTGGTGAACCAAAAGGTAAACAATGACGTCATAATTAAATTGCCCTTTACAGATAGAGGGTAGGCCCTGCATGGTAGATAACAATCAAAATGCCGAATAGAATTCAGAAAGTGAAAGCAACTTTAAAGTTGGGATTGGGAATTGGTTAACATTACTTTTTGAAAAGAACATTTTATGCCTTACGGTAATGTCCCCATGTGGAATTTTGAAGCCAAACTAAGCCGGCTATGAATTAAGTGCTTGTAATTTCTTTTTTTTTTTGGTGGATCACAATGTATGTTTTTGTCATCGTCCACGTTGCCGAAGTCATATTTTTCAGCACGGGAGGACTTTCCTACTAATCTCACCCATTTTAGTTAAGTTGTTAAAAAATGGACACCAGACACAATACCCTGCGAGCAGAGGTTACGTTTTTCGCGGTGTGAGCTGGCTAGCCTTTTCGCACGCCAGCCCGAACTGCGAAAATGTTGCGTCTGCTCGCTGGGTACAGATATAGCTTCTAATCGTTTAGCAATAATTACAACTGAGCAGCGTAATATTTGAGCGGGGAACTATTTAAAAACTTTTACAAGTGTACCTTACAAGTGTGCTCATTGCTTTAGTGTCTAAAAACAATACATAAACTTGTAAATTGCACTTGCAACAGTTTTATTAAATCGACCCTAGTAGAAGAAGACCATGTACAAGTCATGCCAAAGGAATTACACAAATGCACAAATGCCTCTTGGTAGGTTGTTGGGCTAACATCACCTTGTGAAGGGAACTTGGGCAAATAAACTCTTATCGCCTATTTACTTAGTATTATTAAACGTAGTTTTAAACTTAAGTGGTAGGTTCCTGGATATACCTTCAAGGCTGTATCAAGTGCGAATGATGTTGCGTGTTCCGCTGGTTAAAGAGCAGATACCTAAAACCCTATATCAAATTAAAACTGGCTATATGAATAATCCAACAAATTTTAAGAAAATAAAACTTGCGCTGTCGATTTTTTTAAATGATTTTTTAACTCCGCGAGCGTCCGAATCAGTTTTCGAAAGCCGTACTGAAGTCAAATCCATTTTTCTTTTCCACTCATTTGATTTGCTCCAGTCTTTCGGAAGTCAAAGCGTTAAAAATATAACGTTTTGGGGCGTTGCCCTTTTCGATTGCGATCTGAGAATAATTATGAAATAGACCTGAAAAAAGTTTTACAATCATACAAAATTGCCTCTTCCAAAAAATAGTATTAAGAAACAAAAAATTGCTCGACAGCTTTTCGTTGCTTACACTTTAAAGTAACACTCCTTAAAATTTTGCATCAATTGAACAAATTCCCTTTTGGTTGAGTTTTAGGTTTCAGAAGCTGGTTCAGACTCTCGCATAAACAGAATCAAACAATCGATAATGCTAGTTTGTAAGAACTATAAGTTTGTTAGGATAGTCTGTGTAATAAGTTTTAATTTGATGGAAGATTTTAGGCCTCCTCCACACAAATCGTTGTTACACAAATCGACCTTCTGTCCACACGAAACCAGTGAATCCGCTCACCGAAACCGCGCTGTTTTGAAACCGCTCTCCAAAATTGTTTTAAGGCCCCGTCCACGCGAATCTGGATAAACAGAAATGCGGTTTCTAAGATGTCCGGATTCGTGTGGACGGGACGGCGTTCTAGGTATTTCCTGTCTAAACGGAACGCACTTCGTCACTTAAACTTGAGACACCCCTGAAGGTATACGGTGACCTTAAACTAGTATTATACTTAATTTAGCGTATGTAAGTTGAAGTTACACGAGACAACTCGCTAACGACGATTTTCAGCGCAACGCAGTGTTGTAATGGTAGAGCGGTGTTCAAACCATTTCGAAACAATGTTGTAATGCAGTGATGCGCTAAAAATCGTCGTTGCGAATCGTCCCGTGTCGTATTACCTTTAAATTACCGTTAAATAACTACGTGTTATTCGTTTCTCTATGATTACAGACACAGATGGACCCCATTCGGTCCTATGAGCATTATTTCATGGTAATACGGAGCTTAAGCAACGACGAGGGCGACGGCAACGAGAACAGCAAAAAGCAATAGGTTTAGATGAGCAAAAAAAAAAACAACTTTGCACGTGCATCACGGATTTTTGCACATTTCTTAGCCATCGTTGCACGACTACCACGTGAAACTTTCTAATTTTACGGTTTATAGAGGCTGTGAACACAAGACAAACAATTTTCTTTTTCTTTCACTAAACTGAGATATAGTCTTTAAAATTCATCTCCAGACGAATTCGTCATCTTGTGAAAAATTGAAAGAGCAGCAAAGTTTGAAACAGCGCGGAGTGATTCACGTGTAAGTGAAGTTTTAGCCGCCGTAGCCGAACCGTAGTTGCTGAAGCTCCGTGGTAAGTCCTAGTCGTTACCTTAAGATTACGAGGACCACTGTATAACGAAAACGAGATTTTCTCAACACTAAGTGACCAGCGTCATTTTGGCGGTAAAACGTGGTACTACCGGTTTTTGCGAAAATGTTGTAGTGACGGAAAGAAGTTGTTAATGTTAAAAGTTTTATTTTTTGCGATGAAAGTCAAATATCGTTTTCGTAGTCGTCTTCGTCCTCGAATCTGAAGGTCTCTAATGACTTAACGCATTCTGGGGCGTTTATCGGCGGTCGGAATGAAACGTTACCCTAGGTAAGGCATTTTCCAGTCAAAAGTCGGGGTTCCTGCCATTCTGATTCTGCTTACCGTCATGTGAAAACAACAATTCGATTAGAGAAATAAACCTGGCTTCTTCCGTAATTTTAAAAAAAGATTTTAATGGCGGTAATAATTAGAGTCGTTTCCTTGTTTTTTTTGTTCTTTTTTTTCCCACTAAACATTCCTCGTTTCGATTAACAAAAGATAAACGGCCCTGGTTATAATTATTATTGGTGTTAATGTTATTTTACACATTTCATGCAGTTGGCAATCAGCAGGATGATCCTTGGAAGTACAGATTTTTTTCCCAATTTTTCATGATTTTAAACTAATAGTTTACAGGTTATATAATTATGTAATATTAAGGCTATCGATCGTTGTCGTCAATCAGCTAGTTTAGAGATAGAGAGGTTTATTGAGTGCAAGGTTTTAAACCTTGCAGTACTAGACTGGATTATGTTAAAAGAAAGAAAAAAAGGAAAACAGATAATGTAATGAATCGAAGTACTTTACTAAATAAGGGGTAGGAAGATAAAACATGTAAAACTATGATTAGAATTCGCATAGCTATTGACATATCTTTTAGCACATAAATCTATGATTAAAATTCGCCGATCATGCTATACTATAACTTTTATGCAACAATTCTTTATTCATTCGTTTTACGTATAGGCATTCAAAAGATAGAAGATATTCAGCACACTTATTTGGCGGGGGTAGAAGATGACGTAGCTTGTGATCTTGTTTGCTAATTATGTCAGCGAGCAGTTTAGCCGATATAGCAATTTGCGAGGCTACCAAGGTTTGCGTCGGACCACGCATCCCTATAGGACACATAGCGGTAAATAATCCTGCAGACATTCGAGCTCATCCGAGAGATAAACAGGAAGACCATTGTGAAAGACGGCGCAAACATTTTCCGTTATAGGGTGAATACAGGTTGTGTAAAATATCACGAGGTGTATGGACTCGACGTTTACCCTTTTTAACTAC